GGAGTTGAAGTCCACACCGCTTAAAGTTGCCAAGGTTGAGAAACCTTGCCTTAGACAATACAAGACGATGCATCTTGAACATTAAGTTCCTTCCAGATGAATTGCCTGCCTGCCTGTATTTATTTTCCTTCTGGCCTTTGACCATAATAAAGTCTTGATTTGATCTGATGTAATTCCCTTCTGATGCAGCCTTGCCAATTCCTGGTGTCTCTCTCTCTCTGTGTGCTTGTGTATATGTGTGTGTGAGACAGATGGAGAGAAAGATTACACTGGGGTTTAGCTGTTGTGCCCTAACTTCTTTCTTTTTGCCCTCTAGAGCCAGTAAATTATGAAAAGTCGTGCATGAGAATTTACCCTAAGTAGACTGGCTTTAGGTTAGGGTTCAGTAATGCTGACCACACGCATAAAAATTCTAATTAAAAATTCTGTTCTGAAAAGGGTGGTAGCAGCGGAAATTAAAATGGTATTAGTCATCCAGGTAGCTCCCTTATCTTGGCTCCCTCCCAGCACATGTCAGGCTATTATTTGCCATGCTACCTACACGGTGACTTGTGGGAAGTTCAGCTTGAAAATACAAAGGACTTAGATAAAATCTAAGGATAAAACCTGAAAGCAATTGCTGAGCTGGGTTATGGGGAGGGAGCTTTCATCTAGAGACCCTTAAAATCAAGGGGCACTGATTTTATTTCTCGTTAATATTTCCTCTCCCACACTTCCTTCCTCCCGGTCTCTGGCTCTTTTGAAAAACATGGTGGCTTCCTGACGCTATTCAGCCATGACGTCCACCTCCTCTCCCATCATTTTTCTAACCTTTTAAAAAAAATACCCCCAAGTTCAACACACACAACTCATCTTGAGAAAGAGAAGAATGGGGAGACTTCTGATGGTTGCTTCACCATGGCATTGATCGACAAGGGAATTTCTTCTGTGGAGCAGAAAGAGAATAAGGGCTTGAACAAGGGAGTTTTCCTCCTACCTTGATTTCACCAACCCCCTGGCTTTTATGAACCATCCATCCAGCACTGGGGGTCCAACTTCTTATGCCCAGGAAGGGGAAGACAATATTGGAGGGAGATCAAAGCCAGTGGAGCTCCAAGAAGAGCATAAGAAGGAAGAGGAACCTCCTGCGGTGGTGCTTGCAAATAGAGCATGCTGGTTTCTCAGTTGGGGTTGTCCCCCAGATGTGACCTAGTTCTGCTGCTGTTCCTTGGCTCAACAGCCTGGTGGAGGAGAGTTTAGGTGGGCTCCGAGCGTCATTACAACACCTCTATAGACGTGGAGAGTAAGGAAGATGAACTTGGTGGAGACATGTAGGAGACCTTGGTGGAGACACACTGGAGCTGCTACTTAGGCAAAAGGGGCTGGAGCATTTTTTAAGGTCCAGAACAACGAGATAACATTCAGAAGGGACTCAGCAGACGTCTTCCTGATTCACTGGAATATATGAAGGGGGAGACTTGCAAGAGACTCTGGTTCTTATAGACCAGTGTTGTCCAAACTTGGCCACTTTAAGATGAGTGGACTTCA